CTCTTGAACAAAGTCCACCAAATCCTTCTTGCCCTGTCGGGCAGCAAGAAAACGCGATCGCACGCGATATGCATGGATAGGCGGCGAGAAAACTCGTAAAAGTTGACGCTTCAGCGCTGTCCAGGAGGGAAACGTCGCTTCCACCGAAGTTCCGCACGTCAATGCTCAATCTCACGATCGACCCCCGAGCTTGGAGATAGCTAGCGCTACGCGCTATTGCTCGTTTTGAAGCATGGCCGATGCTATAGCCATCTCGGCCTCTCTCACTCATACTAGGAGATTCTTTCCATCCTTGGCTGGCAAGGAATCCAGTGTATATGACGTCACATATATACTGCAGTAATGAACATGATCGTGTAATAAAAAGGTAACTTTGTGAAATCTCTCAGCTCACCTCCTAAATCAGGAGCAACACAGGGGTGGGTCTCATGTAAGCGGGACTCGATCGTTCTTCTGCAAAACTCCCTCTTCAAAATAGAGCTTCTACTCCGCAAGTGGGCACAACGCACATAATTGCTGACTATTCAGTGTCTTTATATCGTTGAAAAAAAAAACGATTCGAAATAATGCTCTGGCTTACCCTTTTTACACTCGACTTGGTGTTGTCTGCCTTCACAATATTTGCCCTGACGACCACAGCACAAAGCCAATTTGATTCTCCGCCCCAAGAGCAAACCCTGGAGACCGCGACGAAGAGACGCTGATATCCGGCATCTTTCAAATACATTATGAGACACATAGCTTTAAGTATCAACAGAGATAAGTTGTTGCGGCCGCGAGTATGATTTCAACTGCCAATACATCTAGAGACCGCTTCTTGTACTCACCGCTGCATTGCAATCTTTCATCACGGCTCTAAGATTGATCGTTTCACTAATTCTGAAAATCCCAATAATCTATACCAAAGCTGTCGAAGCTTCGCGTCCACACCGAAAAGATTGGCTTCGTGGTTGAGATGATTTTATTATCCGCTAGAGCTGCAAAGAATCGAACTTTTCAATTCTCACCCGATTCATGGCTAAACGTATACGCCACACGTAGGACAAGTTTGTGGCTTAAAGAGTGTAAGGCCGTTATAGCCCTCAAACACTCTACACCCCCCTTTGACGTGACCTCGTTGCAAGACGAACGGTTAACGTATCGAAATTTAACATCTCAAATCATGTGTTGTACTGTATTACACAAAGATTTCAAAGCGATCTGACTTTGATGGCTTCAGCAATCCCGGGACGTCAATATTGACAATTGACAACATTGATCTGTATAGCTCACTTTTGAGAACCGCATCTTTATGGGTTGCGCTTGGAAGACTCGACTTCCACAAACTACAATTAAGACCAAGTCATTACTATATGCCTTATCTGCCACAGCTAGAATTCGACTTTTCTCGCGACGGCGTTGTTGGTCTACCATGTGTGGGAGCTCACCCGATTTTACCTGTATACCAAAAAAATAATCAGCGCAGAGTTGCTCTCGCGCTGATGTTACATCTTCGTTCATTATGGCACGGCTTGACAAATTGGAGATTGTTCTCTCCTTCACGTCTCTGATGCGATCAAAATATCTCTACTTCCCACGCTAAACTTGGCAGTCGCGGTGCATAAGTTGTGTTTTGCTTTTGATCCATCAGCTGCTGCATCCTTAAAGGGGGGGGGTGATTGTGGAAGGTTTTAGTGCAAGTCAAGCCTGTTCGTGAGTCTTCCAAAAATATGGTAACCATAGTATTTGTGGCTATTTCTCTTCTTCTTTGACAGATGAAATAAAGCGCTTACGGTGACTGTAAATCAGAATAGGACTGGATAAAACCATGATATCCGACTCTTCAGCACAATTCAAGTTGGTAGTTCTACTGGACAGAGGCACCGAGCGTACGGAATCGATTTCAATAAGGTCCACTAGCTGGTGACCGGTAGTTCGAAGCACTTTTGTTCCACAGACTCTCACTTATCCAGCCGAAAAAATATTTCCGTCATTGCTCTTGTAGGCAAGACGAATAATTCATGATGGGAGCCAGTTGTGCTCAACCAGCGACCGGTTGCGTCGGTCCCAGAGGTCTCTTACCAGCTCGACTTTGTAGCTGGTGAGTATCACCAGATAAAAGTTGTCGAATCTGGTTCTCAACCTTAACGGATTTGAGCCTTTCGGAATCAACTAAATCGGAAAGCATATTAAGCGTGGTTTTGCCTTGAGAACAGACAAAGATCAAAACTATGTAATTCTCAAACAGCAGTTGTTTTATTCTACCTTCATTATTAATCAACAGCAAATACTAACAGATAAAATGGGACCGCTATGCACCTCCCACAGAGGAAACTTTGGCTAAAGAGCTAATGAACAGAGGTTATGATCCGTGCGCACCGCCTGAGGTTCTAGCCCAGATTATCTCTAGTAACTAGCACTCTTTTAGCTCGAATCAAAGTTGACATAAACTAAAAATTTATTCTGACTTAAGTCAACACTAAGTTTAACTGTTTATTTTTAAATTTTATTAAACCCATTTGTAATGTACAGCATGAGGCAATAATCTTACGCGCTCTTTGGACGGGGACTTTTTACTTCATGATGATACTTTACCCAATTTTAAGCTTCACTGTAGAGTATGTATTCCGGTACCTCATCTGATGTAGGCTATGGTGTAGTCATTGCGTAACAATACTCAACATGAATATTCTCAATTAAACGCAAGCTTTGTTTAGACGTCAAAAAGATAACAGTTCATGTGGCTGATGTCTTAAAGGTACTTTTGATAAGGTAGGTAAGGTGCCTTCTGACAAAGTAGTCAAAATGACTTTTTGAGTCTCCGCAGAATCATAGCTTTGCTACACAATCTACCGTTCTCAAAATGTTGCCCGAAGTCAACATTTTCTGTAGCTACAACAGCTAGGAATTTAATGCAGTAGTGGCAAACACTGCAAGCACTGCGGGTGACTTGATTAATTGCTATTAAAAATCGTATCATCCACATTAAATTTGCAAGTTTTTTATTCTTGTCAGCGTCATAGATTTGGGGCATGACGCTTAATCTCATCAAAACGTTTTCATCAATTTTGCAGTAAGAAGTTGTCCGGCAGGTTCACTCCACCAAGACCATAAGGGCACTGTTAGGGGGCATCTGGGAAGCGCGAGAATATACATTACAAAAATGTAAAGACTGCAAAGGCAAGCACTGCTGAGTTCACGTACAGTTTAATAAGTGGGAGCATATGATTTCAGTACTGCGGTCGATGCTTCAGACAGTATCCTTCACCAAGCAATTACTGCGTTCTTTGATCCATAATTGGCCCGAACTGGACCCTCTCTAGCCTACTTAAAACAAATTTTGCCAATATCTTGCTGCCAAACACCAGTCGCGGCCCTTTACGATTGTCTCAGGCAAGCCATGTTGGCGACTGAAAGCAGATTGGCTGTACCTATAATGGTCCCCTGCAACGCCTACTTTATTAGGAGCGTCATCGGGAAAACGCACACTAAAGTACTGTCATTACCCTGTCAAAGCTGGCTGGCTGAGGATAGGCGCCGATCAATGTGGTACGGATTGATCGATGTACATTTTCGCACATGCCCACATAAGTGCTAGTAAACTCAACTGATCTAAAATTAAAAAGCCCGCTCGTTTACTACCAAAAGTAGTATTGTAACGGTGTTTCACGTGCCCTGATATGAAGGGTGTGGGTCGCACAAGACGGTGTGATCACACAAAGGTGTGGGCTATACAAGATGGCTTGACCACACAATGGTGTGGCTACCCTTAAACAACAAGTCAGTACGTGGCTGGAACAGCCAGTAGTTATACATATAATAAGGTCGTACTATTCGATTAGTAAATTTATAGAATTATATATAGGTGGCTTTGCCGCAGATAAAACCGAGAAATACAGTTTTTGTTTCAAGTAGAAGAGTTCATTAGCCTTGGGTTAAGTTTGTAGATACTCTTGACGTAAGCGTATTCCGAACCGCTACATTCGTACTGGTTTTAAATAAAGAACGAAGGTCACCGACCTAAACGAAGCTTCCTCTAAGCGAAAAAGCTACGGCATTCCCGCTGCAGATATCATGTGCCTCACATTGAGCTAAAATCTACAGCCTCTCATCACGGCGTTGTGTGTCAAGCAAATCCTGACTATCATACAGTAAACATTCAGGAACGAAGTTGTTGTCTAAACCACGTTTGCAAATGCTTAGATAACGCAATATAAGAGTCTAAAACAGGCACATCACAAGCTGTAGCTAACTTGCACGTTTTACGAATAATATCGTTGAGGCTTAAAGTCACAATTATGTCTTTAGATAGCTCATAATTTGGGTGACGCGAACGCGAAAGCGCATTCACTACCCCATCAAGCCAACCGGTCTTCCGATATACCTCAAAGTTGTCCATCCATTTTACAAGATAGGTGGAAAGACCACCTTTCTTGTAGCTTTACAAGCCAGCGTCTAATGAGAAGACGTCAAATGAAATACGTTTAGGCTCAATTGTGTAATGTACAGAGTATATTGCAAGCGTCGCGTACCTCAAGCTCTTGCATTCATCAACACTGCTCATCGGATTGGTAATGTATTAACCAGTCATGTCGCGAGTTTGGAGCAGGCAAGCTGTACTTGCTAGTAAGAAGCACGTTGCGCTGGGCGATCATATCGTCTCTCTTGGGAGATGTTGACCGAGGGTGCGCCAAGCCATGACCATCAACGGCGTAAGTGCTGCCTTGCCGATGTGATTCTTCAACCTACATGTTATTTCAAAATGAGGGTATCCCTGGCACTTCACCAGATACTGGATACAGCCCTGGTATACCCACCTATCCACTTTCCGTCCCACTTGGGCACATCCTGCTCATCAAGGAGTGTCAGCGATGGACGACTCTTCCACTGCTGGCTCTTGTTCATGGCGACAAGCCGACCCCCATTATAAATAGTCTATGTGTGGTCGACAAAAAGCTGGGTCATATTTCGTAATCTTTTGATCATCCACTCTATCGTGCCACACGGATTGAGTTATATAATGCAGTTCGCATCCGCATCATGTTTCTAGAGCAAAAGAAACCCATGATCAGGGGATGGCCAAGGCTTTATCTCGAGCTCCAAAAGCATCATGTATCCGATGCTCTTAAGAGAACAGTATGGCTTCAGCAAGCCCGCCCAAAAGATCAGTATTCTTGCATTCTTCGAGTGTATATTAATCTGCTTCGGCAGCAACATTAACCAAACCAATGTACCCGGATTGCACTTTAGTCTTATAGCCTAAGGCCACTGCGTGTGTATACCGTAGCAGCAAAACCTTATTTTGGATACTACCGCTGGTAACTGCGTGTTGCATATTCACATCCTAGCTCCCAGCCGTCACGTCACGCAACCGGCATTATAGAATTGAAAAAACAATGATGAACCTTGTACGATGTGTAGCCAGCCCGATATTAGCAAGTCGGATCGTGTTAATAGCTCTTATTGTATCAAGACAGACCACAGAAACTTCTTGACGGTGTCACCGAAATGAGTAGGTTAGCAAATTCATTTATATCAAAATGGGTAAAGCCAGTAGAGCTGTAGTCAGCGCTATACAGCGCGAGCCCAATGTATGGAGGTATTCGCTACATGACAGCGGTCTCTGTATGCATATGCTTCGGTCTACATCACGCCATTTATGCACTTTATAGGACCGTCTGCTCTTGTAGCGTCAGCGTTCACCACGTCTAATTGAAGCTCAACATATTGAACATGTTTGCAGAAATATCGCTGAAAAACAAGGATATTGCTTTGAAAATAATGACCTCCGGCGATAGTAATGGTATAAATGTGGAACCGAATGGTTCAACACAGAGATATCGCAGTTCGATATTTCTTGCTGTGTGACATTTTTATCGAGACAAGCGACAGTTCTAAACCTGGGCGGCACTTAGATGTTTCCGTCGCCACTCGACATATGCTTTACGTTGATAGTACCTTTGGCAGATATCCTTGTCCTTGCCATTATCTATGTCAGGAGTGATAGTTATGTCGCTGTACGCTGCGACGCACATTTTTTATAGAACTTAAACAGATTAGTGTACCCTGAACTTGACATAGGCATAATTCATAGCAGGTAGATCACCTTGTCTTAAGAAACATCCCTATATCTCATTAAAAGTGTATGGTATCCAGCAATCAGGTCGAATGCACAGGATATAGATACCATGCGGATCTATATCAAGTTAATTTTGAAAATCGTTATTTGCACCGGGGTAGTGGGAGCTTCTAACATTCTATGAGCAAGCTAGATTCGCTACATGTCGTTCTTATTGCGCACAGATAGTTGGGGCCGAGTGGGGATTTTCTCTTTTCAATCAAATCGGCTTCGTGCTTCACAAGGGACAAAGTGTCTACGACGTCACACATTTGTCTTGCTAAGGACCATTGCCTGGATTGCACAGTATATACTTTGAGAAATAGGTCAATCTTTCGACAACATCATTCTCATCTAGGGAAATTGGTCTATTTTCACCATGTGGAGATATTTCTTCAACAAAGTATAGAACGTGTTCGTATGTGGACAGCCGCCCTTCACCTCACACTTGTTGTCCTCAGTTCGAACATGGCAGAAAAGAAGCTCAGCCCCTCCTCTAGTACTAAGTTCTGTCAATCCGGGCCTCCACCAATTTACGACGCATAGCAAATATCCTCCAAAGTAATATTAAGCTCAGTGAGATCTTCTATCGGAAAGAATGAGGGGATACATACAGCCCGTAAGACTAGTTTATCCTTATCTTTTTTTAAGTGATTGAACTAACTAAACCCGACAAGCTTGACTGCGATATTTGGTGGCCACGTTAACGGTATTGCTGACCCAGAAGTACAGTGAGTTTGGGGCAGAGAAACCCCTCCTTTCAAACGTAAGGTCAAGCCGTTTTTTGCTCTTAATTTGCAGTCGAATGTCTTATCGGCTATGCCAGAATACATATGTGTTAGCTCTGGTATCCACATCATAAAGTTGCATATTTTTGTGTCAAAAAAGTTTCATCTTAGAGATCGCAACATACGACCGCAAATCACATTAAACTTTCTTAAGCCCACAATTAAAACCGCTTCTGTGAGATTAAAGTAATGCACTCAGCACCGCCGTTGATGATCAAATCAAGCCAGTCCTTGTCTTGCACCAATAGTACATGATTGCGCCAAAACAGCTTCTGCTTCCTCGCAGATCTTATCAAGTATCCGTGAGGAAAGAAGTGCGTAGTGCCAAACAGCTTGACTTCATGTAGATTCAAGGCTTATGGCGCTCCAGCTAAATTACATGCTGGATGATATGTTATCTTGGATACAGAACAAGGACGAGACAACGTTTCGCAACATCAAATCTTTAAAGCTTTAGAAATTTTCTATTAAATATCTCTCAAGGCTTTGGCTGGTGTCCTCGTTGCAAAACGTAGCCGTGCTTAGCATCTCTAACTTCGCGTTCTGCCTACCGCCTACAACAGTTGCACGTCGTACGTAGAACCACGACGCTTTTAAATTTTTGGGACTTCCAGTCAATAAAGCTTGGAGACTGATGTTGACAGCTAAGAGCCTCGGTGGTGAGCCGACATCTCTTTGTAAAAGGACCTTTCATGTATTGGTTTTGCTTTCAACGCGGTGCAATAAAACCCTATTCGTTTTCTTTGTGTGGGTCGGTTATTTTTGAATTTATTTCTTCCCGCGATGTGCTTGTTCGACGACTCTGCGCTGGGGCTCGACCCGTCACACTTCTAAGTCGAGCGAGAAGTATATACGCAGGGCTCAAGCCTTTGACTCTGTCTCAGGTGTAACATCTGCATATACCTCGATATTGTTCAGCAGCTGGAAGAGCTCGCCATAACACCTCGGTATTGCTGATTATGATCGCCACTGGCGTTCTTGCAGAGCTCCCACGTCACATACTCACAATTAACTCTCGCAGCACGGAGTTGTTCATTGCAATCCAATGTACGCGCGCAAGGTCAAAGATCCAAAGGTGCGACTCACACCGACAACTTCCGCATTCCCCACATCCCCTTAAAGTATGCGTTTATTATTTCATACTAGAATATAATGTAGTATAAAACACTAACCGCATCCTAGACCCTTTCACGGAGATGACAACAGCTACAACCTTTGGGAGAGCGGCTGCCACTGCCACGGCGATGTGAGATATCGTTACTCCTGGCAATAATTTGCTAGCTACGGCCTTCTATGACATGTAGTCAAGAGCTTAGAATCCAGCCGGTACGCCTAAAAGGGTGGCGCGAACAATCACGACGTATGTTGCTTTACTTTCTCATGTTGGAAATGCTTTTTGTGTGGGTGTCCTGCTCGTAGTGTTCATCACCGCACGGAATCGCCGAGCTGGAGACCACCAGCCGACGAAATGTTACTCTGTCTGAAGTATGGCTGGAATTGTGGCCACTTTGCCATCTCTCATCAAGAGAAAAAAGCTTGTCTAACATCTCATAGGGCTTGACGATCGACATTAGCAGCCCCAGAGCGAAAGTCGGTTGTTCCCACAAACGCTTACTGACGTGGATGTTTGCTAGCCATTATCATAGCTGGGTGAACTGTTCCAGGCGAGTAGTAATCGCTACTGGTGCTCGTTCGCCGATTTTTAATACTTCAGAAAAATTGATAGATACGAGCATACTAAGTGTGTCAACTGTACTGGGATTTGATAAGCAAACAACTTGTTTTTTACATCTACATGTGATAAGGTCTTCAAGAACTCAAGCGCAAAATTGACGACAAGTGGTACCAAGTGCATCGTGGCTGCCGCGGATCTAATGCAGGGGGAGGTTTTGCTCAATGAGCCCCCAGCTCACACTGGTTGAGAACTCAAGCGCAAAATTGACGAGAAGTTGTACCAAGTGCATCGTGGCTGCCGCGCATCTAATGCAGGGGGAGGTTTTGCTCAATGAGTCCCCAGCTCACACTGGTTGGATATGTACGCGTTACCCAGACACAGCTTCTGAAGAAACCAAAAACTTAGTTTGTTCTTTGATTTCTGCTTTATAAATTCATCGAATACTACATGTGCTCTGTAGTCGATTGTCATCCATAAAAGTGTATATATTGCATGTTTTGAAGCTGACAAGTCAATATCCCCACGGACCTTCCCTTCAAAGGCGTCCATTGTTTTCATCGGTGACATATCTATAGTGCTTCCAGCTGTGCTTAAAAGCGTACTATGTACGGGCACCAAACCCCGTTACGTATAGCGTCATGTATAGAGTCAAAGTTTCTTTTGTGTGTGGGTAAGGCAGCCAGCCCCATTTCACCTGGTGTTGTCAGTTCGACCAAATCTGGTAAGATTGTCATCTTTGTGAGAAATTAATTTTTATTCATAAGTCTATCCTCAAGTCGCTCAATGAGCATTTGTTTTATTTTGGCCCCGAGATATAGCGCAATGAGCAAGTCCCGGAAGCGGCTTAGCTCGTCTGAAGTAGCTCACCAGTAATGAAAATGCGCTTGTGAGTAATCTCAGGTAGCTTAATCAGACGGCTATGGGACCATCGCTGGTTCCATTGAAGTCCGTAAAATGATGATGTTTTTGCTGATCGACAAGTCTGTTGAAAGCAACGATGAGGTCTTTGGATTCAAGTGGGTATGATGACAATTTGTCAGATCCCAGAAGGGGCATTAGCAGCGAATCCAAAGTTAGAAGAACACGCCTGGTAATGGAAGCGTGTCTCTATACACGAGTCATTGAGATCGCTGGGGCTATTTCTGCGACAAATGTCGCAAGTATTCGCGTCGCCTCATCAGGCTTTCCGCGTGTAGTGTAACATTGAGTCACCCATTAGAACCTGGTAAATGGGTTTTTGCGTGTGATCACAATTCTGACTCATCCATTGAGCAGAAAACAGGTTAGGTATGTTGAGGAATATTTCAAAGCCAGGATTCGTCTGACCCCCCCCTTCCATATCTGTAGCATTCAGAAGCATGGAGATTCACTATATAGATGTAGCTTGTACCAAGACCGCGTTGACCCAAACGCTCTGAAGTAAGCGGCAAATATGCAGTGAAATGTAACTTCCATTTCTCGGTTGGGATGAAGGAAGCGGAAGCGTTATATGTACACCAAAAGCGATAAATCTTGGCCAGCAGAGGTCGTCTGTTGGCTGCATAATCGCATCGCTGTTTTTCCAAGAGTAAAATTGGCGTTTATTATGATATATACACGATTTGCGTGCTCGCTTTTCTCTTGATTGCCAAGGCCGATCGACAGGGCCCTCGTGTGATTTTGTGAGCGAAGGGTGGCCAAGTAAAATCGGTTCTATCGTACCTCGTAAACGTTGAGATCAGATCTTGTAACCGCGTGAATCGCTGTAGGGTCCTGGACCTGGATTTGAAGTACGATATTACCCAAAGTATGGCGTGGCTAGGACGCAATGATCCATGGATCGACTGGAAGTCGAAGACATCCGATGTCACGCACTTCTCGCCTAGAAGGGCTTTCGTGAGTTTTGATTCAAGCCCTGCTAGATATGAAAAGCGTTTTGGCATAGGCACGAAACTGCGACAAATCTTATGCGGGGCATGTTACTGTCTGTTATTGTTGGCACGATATTTTTCAGAGTCTTTAGAAAGCTCGGAACACAGAAGCGGCTACAAGTCAGGGTCAACAGATGAGCTGGAAGTAGCACCAGCATGTTGCAGTTTCCAAAGTGCATCCCCGAAAAGGCGAATATGAGCGACAGTGTATCGCCGCCTCAATGGCAACTGAAAGTCGTGTGTATAAGGGCCAGACTCTGATGTTATAAAGGAGGGTCCATCGTAGTTACCGTGTAATGGTACTGCTGTGATTCAGCAATATGTTAGTCTCCCGTTACTTCCACAGGTAAAACCTCGCGCAAAGGTTTTACAAGGAATTGCACGACGCTGAGTAAACCGAGTTGGTTGCTGTTAACGCATATGTACTCACAAATTATAGAATGGTAAAGATATTAGAATATTGGTATACTACTAGCAAATAGTAGAAACTTACTACAAAACACATAACAAATGCCGACAACCGCGGGTCGCATGCGCATGCCGCACAACAATCGCATGCACAGCAGCTCTACGCTCAAGATGACAGGCATATGGAAAGATACCATTGGTTATGATCCATACGCTGCTGAAGATGAGAAGCAGATAAAGACGAGCGAGACGTCGTATGAGCAGGCCAAGGGCCTTATGGCCCTCGCCAAGCTCTCCAACAAGTCGGTAGGTTGCGATGTAGATGTAGTCTAGCATATTACTGAGCGTTTGAATAATTTGTATGCTTTGAATGTAGAGTGATGTCCGTGGTGCTTGCAAGAAGGTGCGATATGTTGAATCCATTACGTCAATTTGGTGTGATATGACAGGTTTTGCTATAGTGCGGAGTTGTAGGGCACTTGACATTTCAATGTCGTAATTATTTGGATAGAGAAGAAAAGCACGCATTATCTTCAGATTCAAATTCATCTTCATCTTCAGTAAGTGTCAAATGATCGCTTTTTCAAATTATGCATTGATGCGTGCATATTGACCAATTTTTTGGCTGATAATTGGACATTTGTAGGATTCTTCGAGCGACGAGGACCAAGATGAATACAATTCAAAAGACAAGCACGAATCGCGGTCAATTGCACGCCCTGTAGCCTCGCTAGGACGAAGCAGGAGCCGCAGTACAGAAAAAGCAAAAGGGCGAAAAAAAGACCGATCGGAAAGTCGTGGTCGGAAGCGTGGTGCCGTGCGACGCCATTTGGAGAAAAAACCAGCAAAAAATCGCAGCTCAAGTCGTGAATTTAGACGTAGTAGACGCTCGCGCGGTGACCATGAAAGACTCGACAAATCTCGACGAAGTCACAGCTCAAGTACTGGCTCTGAGCGGGATCACGCGAAGCGACGACGACTCTCGGATAGTGAGGAACGCTCTTCATCAAAGAAAAGTATTAAGCGAAAGAATTCATCAAAGAGACACAAAGACAGGAAGGAAAGAACCCGCGAACATCGACGTCATCACCATCAGCGCCAGAAGGAAAAGGCACACTCGAAGAAGTGGCATTGATTAAGTGTAATCATTGCACTATGTGTTGACTTAGGATAACTAAGAAGGTGCATTGACTGAATACATTTCGATATTATACGCACGTTGGTTATATTTCCATTATATACGAGCGCAATTTAACCTTCTAATTTAATATGCATCTTCAAGGTAAAATACCATTTGTGATCTTCTGGAACCAGTCATATTGTCTTGTGCCGCGATGTCCATGACTCTTATCCACAATACGAGCAGCAACGCGCTCGACATCTGATGCACTCCATCCAATACACAAACGACGGCTTAAACGTCGAATGATGCGTGCACGAGATTGACCCTTGAAGCATGGAAATGACGAATCTTTAGATGAAAGGTACACAAGCGACATCAATTGTTGAGCTTCTAAATGAAGAGCTTGCAAACCTTGAGCAACAAGCCGCCGATAGCGATCAAATCCTACAACTCCCATAACTTCAACCATCTCCGAGGTGAGCTTGAATGGAGCGGTTTCAAGACTGAATGTGTTGCCAGGTGCAATACCCAGAACAAAACCAAAATCAATATGCACGATATGACCTTCGGTATCCAACATTATGTTACCGTTGTGTCGATCTTTGACCAAAAATATATAAGAAAAGAGGCTATAGGCGGCCATGCTCGTAATAAAATTCGCTCGAGCTCTTTCTAAGCGAAGTGGATCGTGTTTACCTTCGATTGGATCACGACCACAAGCCCGTTCAAATATTTTAGAAAGTGATGTGCCTACGCCAAAAATTTCTGTGCCCTTTTTCTTAAGACCATCCAATGACTGTGCATCCGTAATGACTTCCAATAGGCCACAATCTTTCCCTGCACAAACAATATCGTAGTAACGCATCCATAAATTCAAATTGTGCTTTCGAAAAATGAGTTGAACTAGCTTGAGCCCTTGTAATACAAATACTTCTTGGCGCATGTCATCAAAACTTTTCGCAATGACGGGAACCAGTGACCAACCATCAAATCTAGAAAAATTGCTTTCTTCACGAATGCGCTTCTGTGTATCAGCAAAGCGTTCTCCAAAAAATGGACACTTGGTCCCGAGCGTTGTGTTCGTAAAATCTGAGTTATCCCACGTACCCATGCTGTCTTCATCACTTCTTCCCTCAAAGTCAAAATCATCACTATCATGTGCAAAGACACTTTGTGACGGATAACTTGTGGGGAAAGCTTGACTCAATCCAGCTATTTTATCAGAAATTGACGAGCTTATAGATCCTTGAGAATCATTCCGGGATATAGGAATCAAATCAGCCACGTACGTTCCAACACATTCTCCATCGAGGTAATCTAAAATTTCTTGTCTTTCAAATTCTAAATAATCAAATTTGTCTCGTCGTACGTTCAATGCAGCATCCACCAACGCATTGATTTCGCCATTTTGCTTCGGCCAGCCATCAAATTCTGAAGAATATTTATAATCGCACGATGACGACGCAACAATTTCAAAATATACCAGTGTCGGGGCTCGAGCCTTGGTAGAAAACACCGTTCCCTCGTCGGTAAGTACATTGACTACGCGATGTGAGTAAGTCACTACTCCGGATAGCGGTAGTGCAGCATCCGGTCGAATGTATTTTCCGTACAACATTCTCTGTAATAAAGCCGGTAATTGTTTTTTTCGTTGTGAAGGCTCACTAATATTTTCTTTTAGATAGGTACAAAGATCCACGAGATAGCGAACCAGCCGAAATTCATCGCTGAAGCAGTGGAGAGCAGGTGTGTTCCACAGTCGCTGCTTTGTTTCTACAAGGTGCTGGGTACCAGATCTTCGCCTTTCCACCATCATGAGTTGAAACTCCTCGTGATAATCCGTCGGAAAGGGATCTAAAAAGCCATCACCAATATGGAGCTGCATTTGAATATTACGTGAACTGGCTACAGTCTCCTCCTTGCTGCGAGCGAGCAACCACTCAAAAAACGGAGATTCACGCTGTGATGCCGCATAAGTTCTCCGAACGAATTCAAAAAGCTGATATAGCAGCGTTGTTAAGGATTCACGCTGGTGCAGTGGTGCTAGTGGAAACAGCAGCTGTGGGAATACACAGCGGGGATCTCCAAAATTGATATTTGTAACGAAGAAAAGCATGACTACAATGCCATTTCCCCTTTGGTAGAATCCTCCAGTCATTGCGTCCCAATGAGCTGCAATGCACTCCCACGTCGCCTTGACTGCAAGACGAACACTTCGTCGGGCAGTGGCAGCCAAGAAAAAGAGGTAGAAGGCTCGAACACTAGGAGAGGCGTCCGAGAGGTGAACAAATCCCCATTGCAAAAACTGTGGCCAGTAAAACTCCATCGTATTCATACAATTTTCAACATTGTGTATAAGCTGAGCAAGCACAACAACGAACATGAAGGGTTGCTGCCGATACTTAAACATCGCCGAGAGAAGACTCAATGGTCCAAGACTTCGGGCTCGTACATGGCGTTCAATCTCATGCTTTGGTCCTTGATCAAAATATTTCCAGCGGACCAAACGTGAAATTCCACCCGCTTCTTCAACCGTAGAAGCGTAGTACATGCTTACTTCTTGAAGATACGACAACAATTGCTGCCTTACATAGCAGTCCATGCACACGCGCTTTGTCCCGGGCAATTGTGCACTTTTAGCACCAACGCGGGACCCAGAATTGCTTAGAACTGTAATGGATTCTGGGGTTGTCAGAATCGTCCACTGATTGCAGTGATCGCGGCAAAAGCGATGCGTACAGGAGACACAGACTTTGGGTGTGTGAATAAGCCGGCCAAATTTTTTACTACATCGAAAACAGCCTTTCGTTTCTGAATTGGATACTGAACTTGTACTATGTCGGCGGCTCGAAGCATGCAGGCCACCTTCTCTGACCCGACTTGAGATCAAAGGATCCGTGCTGTTGCTGCTAACGCGCTCACGACTAAAATTTTGCTGTTCTCGTTTGGACGATAGCAGCGTTGAATTAAGGACTGTATCGGCCACACAGTCCGAGTCTGAAAATAAGACGTTAACATCGCTGTCGCTTGTATTTCCCACATCTTCTTCATGGCGAAGTCTTTCAAGCAACTCAAAGTGATCCATCTGAAACATCCCTGGAGCAGCATTTCGTGCCGTTTTACCAAGTGGCTCCTGTTCGTCTGTGACGCATATAGCTGACGTTGTAAGTGACAGCAGCCCGAATATATCGCCATCTTCAATGAGATTTTCCGACTTGCCTTGATGGAGCAACGATCGCGTGGAAATCGATGATGTTGTCGACGCAGACTGGACTTCACGCTCTTTTGCCGTGTCACCTCCACATTGTAATATATCTCCACTTCCGTGACCACAGTATTTCTTTGTTGTATCGCTATGAAACAGCAATTTACTCAAAAACGTCACCCATGCATCTCGCTTACTATGACTTTCGGCCTCTATCAAAAGTGCAACACCTACAACTTTGTCCTCAATGTAAAATGAAACACTTTCAAGTTGTTTGCGCTCTTGTTCATCAATAGTCCAATTGACAAAAACTCCTGGTTCGTATTCATTCTCAGGTAACATCACATTCTCTCCGTCCACAGCCTCAACACTTGTCACTTGCGTCTTTGTTAACAAAATATTGCTTTTATAGCTTGTGAAAGGCGAGCCATTTTCCTCCTCGCTGCTGTCAGTGCTGGCATCCAGCGTATACCACTCAAGCGACGCAATAGGCGCCCGAGAGACGCAAAAATACCACACATCATCGCTTAAACGACTGATGGACTGCGATTGCCGTCTTGAGCACGATATAAGAGAAGAGTGATCTCCGCTATCATTTGATCCATTATCAGCGGAGGACGGACTGAAGATGACACGCTCCCGAATGCGCACGACGCCTTCAAATTGTGACGTCCCCATGGCTGCAGTTTGTGTTGTGACACTTCTCGCATATGGTTTTCGCTGAATACGACCGACTTACCAAATAAAAGGCTCATGGACAAAAACATTCAAAGAAAATCCGGATAGAGATGCATCGATTTAAGATAGTGTATTATATGTGGATGAGAACATCTGATCACCTTAGACGAGGGTGGTCTGATATCGTCTATCTGTACCTAGACAAAGAGAATCCACAGGTTGGATGAGACGATGGAACTAACGTAAAGCAAGAATTGCGTAGAACAAGGGGGAAGGTCGCATAATTTCATTATTAGATGTTGTTCAACGCATATTTTCAATATTAGATAATCCCAAATATATGTCACTCGTGAAATAGCAAGGCAAATAAAGTACTTAGCTACTACATAGGCATTAAGTTTTGCTTCTAGGTGGCGAGAACGAACCCAACATCTGTGCATTGTATACGCAGGATCAATGAGACCAAGTTTCTTTGTTGTCGTCAATCCGACGACCGACTCGCGAAAACACTGCATACTCTAAAGGATGGAACAGAGATACTCAGTGATCTGTCGTTGGGGCAACTAGACACACTCGAAAAGCTTGTAAGTATTGTTGATCCAGGGACCTAGCAGTCCAAAGACCAGAAGCTGTAATTACTCGTCTGGAGGCGTTTAATGCGTTGGTAGGACACTTCCAAAGACGCCACGATCTGGCGTCTGTCATAAAAAAACTTACATCGCGGGGTCACATGAGTTGAGCGCTCAGTTTTTGAGGGCAGGGACCAAGAAATCTCTATCTCAATGAAAAGGCTGAGATGGCCACTGAAATCGACTCCACTTTAGCTGTCTACAAGCAACAACAAAAAAGCGCTCGTTAATGAGTTTTTTACGTGCTGTACCGCTGTGGAAGGGATGCTCCAAACTTGAAGAAGCTAAACCAGCGTATTTTCTGGGGTACGCGGGTATTTGTATCCCCTAATCAGGCGCACTGAGTGCGCTTCCGATTTCATCAATACCTATCACTACAGGCGTACGTCAGCGCACTATGTCCCAAGGTCTGACTGTCGCCGCGACGGCGGCGCCCTCTCTTGAAAGTGTAAGCAGTAAAAGTCCTCACGAAGGGTCTCCAAACAGGTACGGTTTGAATCATGACTTCAGATTTCCAGGACGCAAAGGATGCCGCATTAAGCGCGGAACAAAAATGGGAGTATAGTAGATAGAAGCTTTACGAGCATTTCAGGGGCGATTAACCTCGGCTATGTTGGAGAGAAGCAAATTCTCCGCTGCTGGGGTAGTACATCTCTTGCAGTATCAAACGCTTGCTCCTTGAATGCCCCTTTGCATCACGTTAGGGGCGATTAAGAATTGATCTTCCACGAAAAATTGCATGGCAAAATCTCGCGAGCCGCGAAGGG